ACAAATATTTTAGTTTGCTACGATCAGAACACTTGTAAGATCCAATCAATTTAGAAGAATGTCAACACAAACTAAACACCATACAATGAATATGTTGAGTATTTATAGTCTAGAGAAACTGAGAATTTTTTTCTCCTCAAGTTAGATATTATTTGTAGTACAGCATTTAAAACTAAAGCATGGAAGTAGTTTTGTTTTTCAAAAGTGCAGGTCCTTAAAGCAATATAATAGTAGGATATATTGGGTTGTAAAGGAGCACTAAAATATTCTCATATGTAAGAGCTACATAGAAATAGTGAAGAGAAAAATCATAGTGTGTTTGGCAAAAATGTAATTAACATATAGATATTATGAAGAATAAGAGGATATGTTAATATTTTCTAATGATATAATGGGACATACATATTTTATAAGTGAATTTTATAAAATGTGTATTATACATAATTGTATTATTTTCATAATCGCATTTCTAAGTTTCTAAAAAAAATCTTTTACTGATTTATGTATTTGGTATAGAGTCTCACTATGCAGCTCAGAGTGGTAGTGATCCTCCTGTTTCAGGCAGCCCAGGGCTGGGATTACAGACATGTGCCACCTTGCGTGGGGTTCAAGGGCAGACAAGGCATGTGGTACTGGGGATCAAACCTGGGTCCCTAGGGCAGGTCACATAGCTCAGAGGATTAAAGCACCTGCTTAGGCAGATGGCAGAGGCTGGGTTTGATCCTGGCCTGCTGTGCTGGACCCATCCCCTGGGGTGCACTGAGATGGCGATTGAGACTGGGCGTGGTGGTACACGCCTGTAATCCTAGCTCATGGGAAGCTGAACACAAGCAGATCTGTAGGAGTCTGATCTATGTAGTGAGACCCTGTAGACTAAAAAAAGAAAGAAAGAAAGAAAAAAACCAGGGTCCTTGCTCTTGCCAGGTAGGTGCTTACAGCATTTTGAAAGAATAATAAAAGTATAAACTATAGTTGAAGAAGCACTCAGTACACATATAAACTGGAAATATCTCTCTATTATAGATATTTAGAATTGAGCATAGACCAAGTTTGTTACACCATTACAATTGGTATTTCCTTTGATATAAATAAGATCCAAAAAATGTAATATAGATTCCATTAGAAACAAATAGATAAAGTTTACAGTGTCTATTTGTGATTACTACAGATCATTTGTACAAAAGCACTAATACCAATAATATATAATGTATCAATAACCATAGAAATTTAAGATATATTACTATATATATATATATATATATATGACTAAAATCTCCAAAGAAAATGCTGAACATATTCTAAGAGGGACTAAATACATAGCTTTTGATCTAGTATTCAACTTCCAAATTTCTCATCATTTGCAGGATAGAGCGCCAAGTCTGCTGTAACCTAAGAAAGCAGTGCTGCAATATTTTAACTCCTGTTATTAGCACATGTTTGCAGCATGGCATGATTACCTTTACTGTGGGGAGTTGGCAGGTGTACATAATAGAACTTACTTCTTTTCCGCTCCCTACCTCCTCCATCGCTCCTTGTCTTTCCAATTCCTGGTTGCCTTCACATTTGAGAGGGCTTTATCGTTTTCCCTAACTTTTTTTTTTTCCCATCCACCTTCCCTGCCTCTATGTATCTCTTGCTAACCTTCCTGTTTTAAAAGCTTTTCCTACTTTCTATTAACATATCTCTCTTTTTTCCTGTATTTTAGGAAAGGGTCTACAGGGTGTTGAGGGTCTTACTACTAGATAAGATTTGTAGTGATGCTCCTCGTTCAGCCTCCCAAGTGCTGGGATTACTGGCGTGCGCCACCATGCCCAGTCTCCATTGTCCTCTCAGTGTGCCCCGGGGGCGGGACCGGCAAGGCAAACCTGGGGATCAAACCCTAACATCTTCTATTTCACTCTTTATTTATATTTTGCTTTTCTCATGTGTAAAAAAATGTCATATTTAAGTTTTTGTGCCTGATTTATTTCAATTAATTTTATGTATTTGTAGAAATAGAGGCACCTTGAGACCATAATGTTAATTAGGGAGAGAGGAAAGGAGAGAGATTGTGATTGATGACTAAATGTAGGAGGAGATAAAACTGGAGAGATTACCCACAGGCTTATTGAAAAAATCATGCTTTTATTTTTTAACTAATTTTCAGTGGTCTTGAGTGTTACCAGAAACAAGAAAATCACTAGAAAATGCACAGTTCTGTGAAAAAAAGCAAACATCATGCAAATACCCTTCCTTCAAACTGTGTTTCAAAGGGCACGCAGCAGATGAAAGAGCTCTGAAGCCCCGAGCTAGCAAAACGAGGGAGCAAAAGAGGTCACGAGGCTGAGAATTTAAAAGCAGAAAAGGGACAGATGCACTACAGGAAGAGCACATGGGAGGTAGCATATGGAGCAGGAGCGCAGCCTTCTGGAGAGTAAAGGAGGGACTAACAGAGGTGACAGCACTGGAAATGAAGACAAGCAGTTGATCTGACAGACCGTGTGGGATCCAGTAGAAAAGTAATGGCCACAATAGGGTAAGAGAAAAACAGTAGGACCATTTGGACTCCTTTGATATGAGAGTCCCTGATAGGCATAAAAATAATGCAGAGATTTTATAACAACATTTGCTCAGTCGTATTCCTTCTACTGTCTAGCATTTTAAAAATATCAAACATAAACAAAATGTAAGTCTTCAAATTTGTCTTAACTTTCTAAAAACCCAATGGACTTGTAAGATTTCAGCTTATAATAGTAAGGGGGAAATGTACAGTAGCTCTCTGGCAGTCATTGTTGAAACATTAATTTACTATTTCCTTTTTCATACACTTAGTTCCTTTATAATTTATGAGATAAAGACAGCAATAATGTCTCATCAGATCAACAAAGTGTTAGAAATGTGACGTGAGTATTTTTCTACTGTCTCGAAGAATATAGTCTAAAGTCTAAAATTCAATGACTCAGATTGCAGCAAATGCCTCAAAACAGTTCTTACTGTATATTTTTCCAGTGCTGTATATTTTTTGCCTCACTCTGTGCTGTTATTTTATCAATTTGAGATGCCATCATCTAGACTACAACTTATCCAAGACGTATTTTACTTTCCAAAGTGGGGAGGCACCTTCCTGCCTTGTAAAATTTCATAAATTTATAAGTGAAACAAGTGGTCACAAAAAGCAAGCAGAGACGACTACTTACGAACTGGCAAGGTCTGGAAGATTTCTATCTTACTGTAGTCTCCTTGACCTTTTCCATTCACAGCTGCAACCCTGATTTCATAAGTCGTGTTTGGTTCCAGGTTGCTCAAGACAACAATTGCTAGAGGACGACAAAAACACACATAAGCCTACATGGGATGCATTCTCATAAGGAAATTAAGCTTATTACAACATTGGGACAATTTCATAGCAAAGCATTCCAAGAAGGAAGGAAAGTCTTACAACAGTAAGTTTGGAGAAGTCTTTTTCTCTGCCTTCATTTAACTTGCTAAAACTAGCAGTGACTTTCAAAAAAAGAAAAACAAACAACACATCCTTTTTAAGACAGACTAGAATTTTTATTGTCTTTTTTAATATCCAAGAAACAACATGATGTAATCAAACTATTTGTGTGTATTACAAGTATTTCATTATCTCTGTTTTTGCAGAGTTTAAAGACAACGTAGAGTTCAACATAGAAAGTGCTGATGCCCAACAATGCACATTGCAGTCATATCAGATGTCACAAAGTGCCATCTAATAAGAGTGGTTCTTTTTATATGGTCTTTTTAAAATACCATTTATATTCTCATTATTTGCATATTTATTTGATTTTCTTCTCAATTATACTCTGTACCAGACCTATGCTCAATAAAACACAAATTCAAAAACTCAGAAAAGCCACATAGAAGTAAAGATTATGAGAAATATCCCCTGGGATATGCCAAACCCTGGAATATGACTGATAATTTTGGAATCAACTGCAGACTTTAAATTACTGTATTCTTTTTTTTCAAAGTTTTATTGATAAACAGATAGCAATGAGACAGTTTCAA